CCCCGCGCCCCCCGCCTGCCCGCGGCAGCCCGCAGCCGCCGCCCAGGGCTCGGGGGGCGGCAGGAGCGGGGCTGTGGGGCCACTGCCCGCCCCTCTGCCTCCTCTCCGGCTCCGGCACCGCTGGTTGCCCGGCGGCTTTGGGCGACCGGACTGCTTGCCCCAGCCTAGGCAACCCTCGGTCCGTGATCTCCCAGCGGGAGAGACGCTCCGCATCTCCTCCTGCTGGGCTTCGCATAGCGAATGCTTTAAAGAAAACCCCCAAAACTCAGCCGCAGGATGCTTTCCCCGCCTCCCAAAGTCCCACATTTTAAGCCCCCAAAATAATTTTCTTGTTTTTTTTAAAAAGCAACGCAAATGGTAAAATTTTAACTTATGTCAGACATATGGAAGTTGCTGGTCCAAGCGTCTTCCAAATCCCATGTGTTGAACATCATAGCTCCTGAGCCAGGCAAATCAAGGGAGTGGGGCCTTGGATGTGTTTCCAAATGACATGTCCTTTTTGTTTCTTTCTAGGTTCATCCAGAATTATATGTTGACAAATCAAGAGGAGATAAACTGAAGATCAATATAGACGTTGTCTTTCCACATATGCCTTGTGCTTGTGAGTGAACCTCTGAGCACTGGGGATAAGGCGCTTTTCATGCCTGCTGAAGGCTGAGCACACCCAGTGCTGTCCTTACTGCGGGACAATAAGGAGTTGTCATTCCTTGTGGTTACACAGTGACTTTGGCGAGGCCCGTGGGGTGCTTATCCTAGCACTACCAGTGTCACAGTAACACTTCTATAGACTATAAGTGAGGGTAACAATATACCCCTTAATTCGGATTGCTTGGCAGAAATCTCAGTCATACTGAAAAAGCTAACACTTTTTTTTTTTCTTGTAATTCCGTATCTGACGGTATTGTAGTTGAAGACCTTAAGAGTCTTCTTAGAAAGAAGCATGACTAGGGACAACTTTCCCATAATTCTTGTACTTAAATATTGAATGTAATGTGACAGCTGTTTTACAAAGTTTTAAAAAGTGGAATGGGTATTAACAGGGTATTAAAGATTATGGGAGTAAAGTTGCAGAATGAAGTGAGTGAAGATTTAATATTTTTAAATTTTGTTAAAATATTTGTTGCAAGCCTTACTGTGTGTTACTGTTCTGCAAATTATCTAAAAGTCTACTAAACTTCCTGGCCTCTCTCTGTAGTAATATTTTTGGGGGGATAGTGTACTGGGCTTTAAAAGCAGTGACTTTACTTTCCTCCTGACCACCCAAGATATTGGTGCTCTTTACCTTATTCACTTTTGAAGTGGAGTGGGAAGGACAGAGACACTGGAAGCCTCTTCCGTTTTTCTACAGAGAAACTATACATTTTATGAGAGCACTTTGCCAGCAAGTGCCTTAAGGTCCCTTGGTACCAGACCAGAATCACAGACCTGAATCTCCTTTGAAAAGGGTTCACAAGGAAACACTGATGCTGAAGCAGGTGGAAGGGCTGATGGGATAAAGGTGGGAAGGCAGCTTTCAACTGGTTTCAAGCTTAACTTCTGGACTGATGTTTGTACAAATGGTTATGGTTTTGTTGTTGGTTTTTTTTTGTTTGTTTTTCTGTTTCTTTTTGCCTAAATATATTACCCATGAGGGTAACAGTTTCTGTGGCTGTTTTACACCAAACCAACCCCCATAGTTGGAGGGGTCACTAAGGATGCAACTGTCATGTATTTTAGTTCCTTTAAGGCTCCTGACCCAAACCATGCATAATCTTCCAGTTTGGCATATTCTTCTCTCCCTTGCTAAAAGATCCTGTATTTGCACTGGTTGAATGTTTCCTCAGACTGCCCCAGGCCATAAAAATATCCTTTTATAAACCACTTTGCTTTCTGGTTTCAGATTTAAGCATCGATGCAATGGACGTAGCAGGAGAACAGCAATTGGATGTAGAGCACAATCTGTTTAAACAGCGTTTGGATAAAGATGGCAATCGGGTGACTCCGGAGGCTGAAAGACATGGTAATGTGCTATTCTGCCTTTCTTGGTTGGATGCTCTAGGGTTTTTTTTCCATCACTGTAGCATGTTTGACTTCCACAGGAACAACTGACAGCTGAAGAGTGTTTAAATATCATAAACTCTTGAAATTGGAGTTTATAGCATCCAAATCTTCTAAATGGCAGGTCAGGCAAACTCCTGCTACACTTGCTGATTTTGCAAGGTAAATTTTTGCCTGCTCACTCTGAAATTATGACAGGAAGCCACAGATGCAGTAGAGGAGTAAAACAGCAGAATTAATGGTTCTTTTTTACTAGAAGTTATGCAGGTCTTCTGTCAAAAGTTGAGTTTGGTCATTTCTTTACATTACAATGAGCAGACAAAATGAAGCAACCTGTTTAGAGGAAAGTGTATCTCTCCAGGGAAAGCTCCAGAGACTCAGTGCTTAAGCCTGTACTTGCGTCTTTGGTTTCATATGTGTTGATAAATATCTGATAAATATATTTAGTTAACTCAGTTACTGTGTTGCCTAGCAGCCTTTCTGTATTCAAAGACTATGATTACAAATTAAATGTTTTGGCGCAAAAATGTCTTTTCTGATTCTAACTTTCTATTAACATTTTGCCTTATGTGTATTAGCAGTCTGCCTCTGGCTTGCTCCATTGGGCTTATTTCTCTAATTGCTTGGTGCAGAGAAAGAGGAACTCCTGGAAGCAACTTATTTTACCTTAAAAAAATAATTAAAAAAAAGCAAATCCTAGCAAATTATTTCCTCTTACTGACTTGAAAAAGTATGCATGGCCAGTTCACATGGAATTATTTATACCCCATGTTGTAAGTTTGTTCAGAAGAATCCACCTGTCTTCCTTAAACTGTTTAAATATCAGTTTCTTTTCATTCAGTCAGTTATTTAAATTGCACCTATAATAATAATCACCATCTCTTTAGCAAAATATATGCAAAATTTAATAATTTCTGGGTACTTTTCCTACTATTTTATTTCTAAAATAGGCAATAACTACAAAATTTCATAATTCTTGTGCTAGTTCGTATTCTGTGCTTAGATAAATTCTTATTATATAGAATGATCATAAATGATTGTCTTTCTATTTGGTGGTTCTTCTCTTTTAACTACAGACAAAATTTTGCAGTTTGATATGTCTGATCTGCATGCAAATTGAGGGCCACGTAAAAAGCAAGAAACTGCATGTGGATTTTTATGCAGTGAGGGTTTTTTGTAGTATGTAAACTGTGTGTGTGTTACCTTTGGATGCTGTCCTTGAGACAGCTCATTTGACAGCTGTTAGCTGCGTTAAAAGAGATTATTATTGGGTAACATGCCTCGAAAGACACTGAGCAGTGGTTGATGTACACTGTTCTTGCTCAAATTCAAAAGGTGTTCGAATTTGACAAAGTAACAACTGTGCAGCTATATTTTCTGAGAGCATCTTTTAATGTAATTACAAGGTGAAAAGCAATGCCTACTGTATAAATAATTAATCATTTCAATTTGTGTATATTCTGTAAGCTTTAGAAAAGAAGTCCCTCACAGTTGTTTAATTTATTTTCCTGAAATAAATTTTCCTATGGGTTTTTATTTTACTAATGATTTATATTTGCTTGATCATAACTGCAATAAACTATTTGATTAAAGAAATAATGGGTAAGGTTAATGACTGGTTTCACATGTTTCACTCATTCTGTTTTTTTCATTTAAAACTTTTTTCTGTAGTTAATATGAAATATGCCCATACTTAGGATTCACCTCATGCACCTGCTCTTTATTTCTCAGTCTTAACAACCAAGTCCCTAATAAAATTTTATCTTCTCAACAGTATCAGACCATATATCCTATTCCCCTCCTTGTAGTAATTTATCACTGGAGCTGTAATTTTGGGGCTTATAAAGGCAGTGCAGAAGGGCTTTAGAGAGCATTTTTAATCTAAGACTTTCTCTGGACATGGTCTCTTCAGGATTCCTGGGGTGAAATGCCCTGGTTCTAAGAGAGCCTTCTATTATGAAAACCATTGTTCTCTTAATGTTTTTGAAAAAAAAAATGAAACTTAAGACACAGACTTCACAGAATCACTTCCTTGGCTTGCAATTACTCCAAAATTTACACACTTTTCATATTTGTTTTGGTTTGAGTGTACGTACCATGGCCATACGGAGGTGGCACATCCAGCATACCTGGAGCACAGACATGGGCAGATTTATTAAGTCACTAAGAAGATAGAAATTTCTTGGAGCGTTTTAGGGTGCAGTTGTTAATGTGAGTGTGCGCGCTGTCAGCGTTGCAGTCTTGGAGGACTGTATTTGAGACAGGAGATTCCTGCTATGATCTTGCTTTGCACAGAACCAGACCCAACTGTTTATAGACAGCACAGAAGAGCCTGTAACGCACTTGTTCCAGTAGATACACACATGCAGCCCATGGAAAGGTACAGAGTGATGTTCTTTAAGTCACTGCTTGTGTTACTTCTGACTTTCCTTTTATACAGCAGTTGAAACAACCAACCAAGCAGGAGCAGTGTGTATGTGTTGCATCTTTCTAAGCCTAACACAGCCAGCTTCCATGTTAGGACCAGATTATGTGTCATGTGCTGTTGTCTTAACTAATTTGAGGACGGTTTCAAATTTTGTGTATGCAGGGAGTTCTGTATCAGTCACAGTTTACTGATGACTCTATTTTAGGGAATGTTTTATCAAAGCTTTTATGTGAGCAACGTATTGACCCGTGCTACAGCAAGGCTCACAGGTAACCTGCTCTTTCTGTGGTGGATACTCTTGAGCTGGCAGGTATGGCACTGATAAGGTGCTTCTCACCTTAGCAGCCTCCATGTGTAGTATTTCATAAGGGCTTTTGATGCAGGGCATAGCTTTGATTTCACAGTCCTTGCATTTGAGTTTAGATCAGGCACTGATGTAGAAGAAAACAGAAGTACACCGTGCTCTTCCTAGATATGCCTTCTCACTTTGAATGCAATTTTTGTTTTAGAGCTGGGAAAAGAAGAAGAAAAAGTGTTTGATCCAAGTTCTTTAGACGCTGATCGTTGTGAGAGCTGTTACGGGGCTGAGTCAGAGGACATCCGGTAATCATTACACCTTTCTTTCTGCATATACATTTCTTCTTAGCACTCAGATTACTACCGCGATGATGCGTGCATGTTTCTTTTCAGAGTTTGTATGAAGGTCCATGGAATTAAATCCTGGACATCCGTGTTCAGAGTATTCTGAATACTGTTGTAGTTGCAGGTGTGTCTTTTGAAGATATAACTGGTGAGCTGCCCTCATGGTTGTCAGGAATGTGCAGAGTTAGCTTGTCTAGTTTGTCTGCAGTCTTATTTAAGCTCATGTGGAACTGTGCTCCCTTTTTCCCAAAAATGTTTCCACATGGGGGTTTCATGATTCTGCCCTTCAGCTTTTTCTTCTATTCAACAAAACATGAAACAAAAGAGTGGGTTTTTTTTTTCTGATGACAAAGATGTTTTTCAGTGGTAGAAAAGTAATGAAGAGAGTTTCCCATTAGCTGTTCCTGCAGTTTTGTAATTTTATCTGCCTTGACCTAAAAACTGAGAAGAATGGGAATTTAAATAGTCACACATTGGGACACATGTTCACATTGGGAGATTATAAACTTGTCAGGACTGTGGGACACATATGGCAGCTTTGGAAGTTTCTTTGTAAAGGAGTGACATGGCTGTGTGGACAGACAAAGCCCATTTCTGACTCAAGAAGACCGTTAAAATAACTTGTATAATTGTGTCAAAATCTCAAGTAGTTCAAAATTCTTGATCTTTCAGCAGCATTAGGCAACCCTTCAAGGTCTGGTCACTGATACCTGCTTTATTGCTTTGTGGAATAAAAATCCACCCAGGATTCATGTTCTGAGCAGAAACTTTTTTTTAATCTAGTGATAAAAGTAGTGAGATGTTGTTTGTGGTTTTGCAGCTGCTGTAATACTTGTGATGATGTCAGAGAAGCCTACAGGCGGCGAGGTTGGGCCTTCAAGAACCCAGACACCATAGAGCAGTGCAAGAGGGAAGGGTTTAGCCAGAAAATGCAAGAGCAGAAGAACGAGGGCTGTCAAGTGTATGGTTTCCTAGAAGTCAACAAGGTGAGAGATGGGTTTTCATTTTAACTTGCTTTGTGGGAGCGATGGCTTTGAAAGGGCAGAGTTTGAGTGTTCGTTTCCTTTTCCAGCCTTGGTGTTCACAGTACTGTAGCACAAGAATTCCTGGGCTCCCAAAAGCAGTTGTGTCCATAAAAGGGTGCAGGAGGAGAGTCAAGCAGTGAAAGCAGAAAGTTCTCTGTGTTTCACTGCGTGGACTGGTAGGAAGCATAGAGAAGCTTAGTTTTTCCTACTACCTAGCAAGTCCTGTTGTATAGCTTTCTGGAGAATGGGAAGCACTACTTTGATGTCTAATTGTCTCATCTGTTTTCTTAGTCTTAAAACAGAGACATTTTGGGAGATATCAGTAATCCGCAACTTGCCAACAGTCGTGCTGCAATAAGTGAAGTGTTACCTTCCTTATAAAACCAATAGAGAAAAGACTACTGGACATACCTGTTAAAGCTGAAAGTGGTCAGAGATGGTGCAGACATGCGGATGCATTTGCTTGCCTGTGTTGGGCAACTGGTACATTAAAACCAAATACTAGATATACCAAGTAACTATATAACTAACCTGTCATGTGGAGAGTTACTGAACCCAGAAGAGTTGGACATACAGATTACATACCCAAATACATTCTAGATTCAGGCCCATTTTTCTTCTTCACCTAGCTCCCTGGTTTTGCACATCTTGTACCCTTTCTGGAGCCCACATTCTTCTTTTCTGGAGTTTAAATCTTTTGTTTACTCGGTTAGACTTTGTGGTTTGTCCTTTCTTGGCTACCAAACAAATATGGAGCCACTTATCACAAAATGTGGTGCGGAAGATTCACAAGTATGTTGATATTGTCACCCATGAAAGTGACTTGCTTAATATATCTTGGGGTTTTTTTGGTTGGTTGGTTTATTTTGCTTTTTTGGGGGAAAAAATGCCCTAGCGCTAATATTGTTTTATTTATTTGGACTCAGACTTTTTAATGAAAGATGACTGTATCTCCCGCAGGTAGCTGGAAATTTTCACTTTGCACCAGGGAAAAGTTTTCAGCAGTCTCATGTACATGGTAAAGTATTTTCCTTTTCTATTTATTGTAACCTTTCAGCTTCAAAGAATATCTGTACTTTCTCTTTGACTATCTCTGCATTGCCACCCACAATAAAAAATGTAAATAGTGGGGAGAACATTATTGAAGTTCTGTTATAGAAGTTTAGAAGCATCATGAACAAATAGGAAAGCATTTTGTGGAGCTGCTGCCACAGGGGCTTGGAGGAACTTGCAAGAGAATGAGACACTGCCCACAAATAGTTTTACTTGTTCCATAAAACCTTGCTGCTCTGCTGTAAAACAGTCTCAAGTAAGGTGCTCAGTCCAGAACCCAAATTATGAGTATTTCTGGAAGAGATATTTTAGAGAATATCTGAAGATAATTTTAAAGTAATTAAATACTTGCAAGACAAATTTAATTTATAAAGAGCTTTCTCAGGTTATAAAGGACTTCTCAAACATATGTAAATACAAAGTAACTGGATGAGTAGTGGTAGGTAGTTTATGCCTTGAATCTTTAACATGAACTCGACTGAAAATACTTGTGTGACTTAATGAAACGTTTGCAGTTGCTGTGATTGAGTTTTTGAAGTGTGAAATTTGTAGTCAAGGTTTCACAAAGAACTTTAATTCCTGATTCCCCTTCCCATAATTATCTGTAGTGACCTGTACCTCTGAGGTAAAGATCACTGGGAAGAAGAGTAATCGATGTATTTGGGGAAAATGAAAACAAGCAAGGTTTTGGGCATGGTTTCTGCAGGTAAAATGAATTGTTTCTGTGCAGAAATCTTATCTTTTTTTTTTTTAGCAGCGTAAGTCTAAAAAAAAATCACTTAATTCTGCACTTTTTTTTGTATATATATATACTTAAATTAGCATGGCAACAGCAGCCTTATCACAGCTAGTATTTACATCATATATCTATGTTAATGAGAAATATCTCTCCGTTGCACCTTTTCTCTATATTAGGCACGAATGCAAACTGGCTGTACACAGAGCGAAGTGCTCTGTGGTGTGTGTACCCTAGAGGAGTGGGCAAGGTCGGATATCCCTAATCCATCTGCCCCAGAAGTCTTGGATTTACTGAGTTAAAAATAATATGGACAATGGAGAGAAAGTACAGCTGAAAAGTAGAAAATTCCTGCAGACTTTTCAGAGGCAGAGTTATGAGCGTTGATGGGTTTAAGTGCAATGAAAAGGAGCCGGAGAGGTGGTGATATAGGTGGGCTTTGTGGGAGCTTTTTCGTATTACATAACAGGAAAAAAAGGCCCTTAATACTTTTCTTAATGTGCAACGTTTTTCACCTCAAGGTGTTTTCCTGAGTCTCTTGCAGTCTCTAGAGAGCCATCAGTGGCTCTCTTCCCATCTTACATGAGCCCATCTAAACATTTAAACAGCCATTTGCAAGGAGTTTAACAGGTCTATTCTACTGTAAGAAAAAAAAAACAAAAAACCAACAACAAAAAAAAGCTTTCCTTCCTCTCATTTGTTGCAGCCTGGCTGCCATTAGCTTTATTTGAAGGCCTTTGTTCATCCTTTGGAAAATGATCCCTGCCTGCTCTCTCCCTGCTGCTCTCATGTCATGGATCTTTCCTGGGCCATTCTATAGATCACGTCTTTCCTCAGTTGGAGAGTCCCAGCCTACTCAGCTGGTCTTTTGTGGAAACCCTTCAGCCCCTGAGCTTCTTTGCTGCCTTTCTCTGGATCTCTTCCAATTCTGCAGAAGTGCCAGAACTGCACCCAGGAAGAACATCCAACTAATGTTGTAGGCAGTGACATGATGATGTTCTCACTTTTCTTCTCTTACTTTTTTAGTAATACCCAGCATTTGTTTTCCCTTGTTTTCATCCTGTTGCTGTGCAAGGCTTTCATGGCATCACCAAGCAGAGTCCCACTATATCCCAGTTTAAGGGAAACGGTCAGCTCAGATGCCATGTTTTATATATGAAGCTGAGACTCTTATCACCTTATCACAGTGTAAGCTTGCTTTGTAATCCTTATATGTGTGTGTGTGTGTGTGTGTATAAAAAGAATTTGCAGTCAGAGGTTTTGTATTTGCCTTTAATATCTCACTAAGACTTTGACTAGGATTGGTCATAGGGCAGCACTCTTAAGACCTTCCTTGGAAATAACTTTTTTTTTTCAGTGATAATTTCATTGTTAGAACTTGTGTCTGCATGATTTTTAATCCCTTTAATAAGGTCTACATTAATGCTAAGTCCTGTTAATATGCTTAAGAGACTGTCATGCAGGATAAAGCTGCACACCTAAGAGAAGTCATCAACCACCCTAACAATCCCATAAAATACTAATTCTGCCAGACCTATTTGACATAAAACTGTGATGGCTGACAGTATTTCTGCCACTATCTTGTTTTCCCTACTGAGTTGAGCTTGAGTATTCCCACACTCAGGCTATGCTGACTTCTGGAAAGTGCTTAATGCCAGATTCCTCAGGCGATAGATGATCCTGGTGTTGCTTCCTTCTTCACTGCTGTATTTCTGATTTGAACTAGGAAATAGGGAGTTAACATGAATGTCAATAGTACAGGAAGTTCATTCATGGTGCCACTCTCCTTGCCACACTTTGGCATGACTATATCATGTCTGTGCAACTGTTGATTAGACTTAAGTCCCTTCTTTGTTGGGTGTTATTCAGATATTCCAGCTGGGAGATCAGCTCTTCAGTTTCATGTGCTGATGCTCTCTCCTTGCCCCGAGGGTTACTCTTGTAATCCTCCAGCTCTCCAGAAGTGGGAAACTCCACAGGCATCTTCACAACAAAGTAAAGGGTCCTAGTGAGCAGCACAGAGTAATTATGATCACAAGGGTAATTGTGGTCTGAGCTTTTCCATATCTGTCATGTGGTTGCTATTATCATCTTCAAAACTGTAATCACTCTCTTGGGTAGAAGCAAGTTGAATTTCCTCCCCCTCTCCCCTGCAGAAAATAGAATAACATGAGACAGAGCTAATACACATGCAGGGCTAGCACTGACTGCGCTGCTTTTTGATACCTGCTTAGGTATTTTGTCCTCAAGAATGCTCAGGACTCTTTTTATGCTGATAGGAAAACTCTCAGAGGTTGCTTATGGTGGTGCTGATAAGTCTCATCTGTTTCCATGTAGATAGACAAGCTGTTTACTGATGTACCGCGTTTGCTTTTGAGACCACAAAACTAACATTTCCCTTTGCCAGCAGATTACAATTTACTAGAGCTCAAAGTGAATGAGTTGCTGGGGATGCCCAACAGCTGCCGAGCAGCTGTCTGGAGGCTCTGCACGCTTCCTCTGTAGCAAAACACATGTGGTGACAGAAGCCTCACCAGAGATGTAGCATTTAGCAGAGTGAATAAGGAGTTGCTGGGTGAAGGATTCAGGCCCCATCTCCAAGCAGGTGTAAAGCTGTGGAAGTTACTGTTAATCCTGTGTGGTGCAGGCATGTGCAAACAATCTTTTGAAACTGAAGAAAAGGAGGTTACTCAACCACAATGAATATTCTTTGAGATATGTTGTCCACATATACATTTTATCTGCCCTCAGGTGCCCTCTAGGTATTCACTTCTGTTGGGATCTTGCAACAGAATGAAAAAATATAACCTCATGGCTTTCCATTGTACCTGTATGTTAGGTATGGTGAAAGAAGCACAGGATTTTGAGAGAAAAATGTGTTACCTGTTATCCAGCCTGGAATGGCAATATGTTGTGAATGTACAGCTGGGCTACACTTCCACACGGCTTTGGTTGCTCATAAAATAACCTTTCCACTCCCCGAAGGGGCTGAAAGAAATGGAATCTGAATAGCACTGTTGTCTGAGATGCTTCTTTAGAGCTTGTTTGAAATATATGGACATCCCACTGTATTTTTTTCTTTTAGTGATTAATTCCCTGCATTTTTGTGTCTCAGTTACTCTTTCAGTGATTGCTGGTCCATTTATCAGTTCTTTTGATAGCTAGGGAGTCTTTATATGTGGCCTAGAAAACACACTAGCAAAAGCAATTATTCTTCCTCTTTTTGGTAAGAGTTTTAAATGCTGCTATATCTGAATCTCTGATTTGCATTATAAGGATCTGAATATTTCTCTTTTCTCTCCTACTCTCCTCGTTTTTGCAGTGCACGCTGTTGAGAGTAAGTGTTGCTATATCCTTTCTTTTTCAAAATGCTTTACTACAGAACTAATTGCATTTCTGTTATTTGTTATGCCCCTGAATCTCCTTTGGGAGGAGCTGTTGATCTAGGCTGGGATTTGATTTCCTAAAAGCTGTAAGGAGACCCATGCCATGTCATTCTTATGTGGTAAATGACATCACCAGATGAAAATGGTTGAGTGTCTTTGACTTAAATGATCTTAATATGTAATATGTCATTGTTAGAGATAATGTGAATTATTAGTTTTTCTGTGCGAATAACATTATCGAGAGGGGCATGGCAATAAGTTGGAGAGACTTTTCCCTTTGGGAATCAGATGGGATAACTATCTCTTTTAATCTCATTTTGACAACATGATAGAGAGTTTCTGCTGAGAATTCATGCACCAAGCCTGCTAGTTGCAGAATACTCAAGAGAAGGTTTGGGGCAGGAGTGGGGAGATAAGTTTTTTGTTTTTTTCCCTTTTGTTTTTTTTTAAGGGATGAGAGAATCACAGTGTTTGCAGCTGATGTTTAAACACCTGGCAGAGGGCTCAGGCTCCAATTGCCTCCCCCAGCTGCACTGCTTTCACTGTTGCTGCCTGCCTTAGTCCCCTCTTCATGGTGCGTCCTTATCCCTCTCGCAGCATCTTCCTACACCACTGCGTTCCTGTAAGATATTTTCCTCAAGAAAATTCATCCCCAGGTTAAAACCTGGTGTCCTAACACACTTTGGAGCAGCATGTTTAGGTAGCTGTGTCTTGAGTTCCTTGCAATGTTACTGTATTTGGTTTAAAAATCCTTAGTGGTAGGCAGTGCTGTTACCCAGTTTTACAAATAAAGGGCTGAGAACCAGATTTTAAGATCACCCAGGAAGCTTTGTAGTTTTTCAGGTCAGAAAAAGAAGGTGGGGAGAATTCCCCAGACTGACTGCACTTCTTAAAATTAATTAAAATGTTACTAAACACTGAAGAAAACCAAATTATATAAGAATGTATCAATTCCTTGATAAACTTGAGGTGTTTCTGTATCTTACCTAACTAAGCCCTGCAGTTACAGAAAGGAAAGTGTTGGTTTCTTTAGAAATAACCGTCTCTGGTCCTGTCTGATAGTTTCTTAATATCTTCTGTTTCCTTGCTGGTTTTCTTCCCTCGGTAGGCTAAATAACCTGTTATTTTATGTTAAGAAATCCATGGTTAGCTAAATGTTTATCTCTAACCCAGACTGTATAGCATAAGCCTCAGTGATCAAAGATAAATAAACCTTTAGTCTGGTTGAAAACTGTTTTAGAGGCTGAATGTCTAGATCTTGCTTTTTCAGAATTTTAAATCATTTATTTGAGAAGCATTTTATAAAAACTGATTAATCAGCGCTTTACATATGGAACATGATAACAGAGCAGTATGAAGAAATTGCATTTTAAATAGCTACAACTCTTAAAATGAGTCATACATAAGGTAAAATTAGTTTAGCCGTGGTAGGTAGTGACTGGTCCTTCTCACATGCTTCTCCGGAGCCTCTCCCACACTCTGCTGCTACTGGAAGATTCCTCAGCCTCGCTAGCACTTGGCTCCCCCTCCACACATTGACAAATGTGACTGCTAAAGCACCAAAACTGGAAAAACCCAGAACCTCGTGTAGGCCATCAGTCCCGTCCCGGAAAGGATTCTTGCCCCGCTCCGTGCTGGGGGCTTGTAGCCATCGCTGCCGCGTGTTCGCACAAGCGCGTGCGCAGCTGTGTCCTTAACCTTAGTTGGGAGCTGATCGGGTTGCACAAATTGCCTCCAGTAAAGCAATGCTCGTGTTTCAGCTAGAGCACAAAGGCTGTTTCGTTAGTAGTCCAGCTTAAATGCAGATCATCTATAGCTAGAATCGCAGTAGGATTTTACTGTTAGCTGAGTATTAGCTTACTGGTGAAGTACAAAAGCCTCCACTTCTCCAGTGCCTAAAACAGCTTCTCTCAAGTGCATAATGTTTTATTGATTGCAACATTAAACAGGGTGTTTCTTTTAACTCATTATGAAAACAGTGTAGTATAATCCCATCACCACTTCTCCTTCCTCTCCCTCCCACCATTGCTGATTTCACCTGTAATTCCAAATTTGTGGTCTTTTTATAAGAGAAATGGGTGCTCTGATCCAACTGCTTCCACCCAAATGGCTGTGCTGGTGGCGGCGGAAGGGCTACACGCAGCCTCCTGCAGCAGGAACAGGGAGGAGGAGAATTGGGAACACCTGAAGTCGGTGCAGTTCTGGGCACTTAACTTAATGCTGTCTCTGTAATGCAAAACCAGTGCCTTCATTCCACTGGCTGCAGCCTTAGTTTCTGAGTGCTGAATATTTAAGTCGTGCAATGCATTGTGGTTTCCCTCGATCAAAGTAGAAGGCAGGGTATATATAGCATTTCCTGCTCTAACAGTACAGCCTGTGTTTTGCATGCATGTATTTTTAGTGAGTTTTATGCTTTTAGTTTTATATTTTTAGTGAGTTTTATTTATACAAATAAAACTTTTGTTTTTTTATAGAAATGTGTTAGTAGAAAAAATGTATGATAAATAAATAAATGATAAATAAATGTTTATTTTAAAGGAGAGGTTAGTTTCAGTCAATTCTTTAGTTTTGCAGCCTTCCTTGTGCTAGACCGTGTATCAAAATCCTTTTCAGAGAGCAGCATTCTTGATCTTCATTAGTAATATAGCAGAACTTTATGAGCTGATGGAGTTGGCTCATAAACTCATAGCCCACAGTTTCCAAACTGGGGTTTTCTTTGCTAGGATGAAAGGTGAAATCTGGCTTCCTGAGCACGTGAATCTACCTGTCAAAATGTGCCGCAGCCTGTTAGAGACTGGCTGCCTTAGGATGGATGTATAACTTTGGCTACGCCTGTGGGAACGATGCCGCCCTTTAGATGTAAGTTATACTTCCATCCTGAGACTGAACTCAGCTGTCCCTGCAAAGACCCTGCTTTTCCTTATGTGCAGTGGGCAGCAATGACGAGACTGGTGGGAGGGCTGTGCTGCTCAGATGCTGAGGATTCCTTTTGGGGACTTTTCCTGTGTCACTGTTGAAGGCAGAAGCTCTGCTCAGTTGTTTCTTTAGATCCGTTCTGCTAGTGTTAAAGGAGCTAGGCAAAATCTAAAATGGTTATCAGTGAATGATTGAGATCGTAGTGAAATTATCCTTGCTCACCTCCACAAGCTTGCTCTTTCTGCCACATTAAGAATGTATTCCAGTGACTGAAATGATTAATCTGAATTACGTCTAAATTAAAATTACTTTCCTTTGCTCTAGCAGTGGCTAGTCAATGTGAGAAGGAGGATTACAACAGTTTTATCTGTCATGTGTCCTACTGCAAGTAAGAGAGAAATCCAAGTTATTTTCTTGCCATTTTAGCAAGGGAGCTTCCTCGTAAACTTAAATAAGATAAACAGACCTGCTTGATGCCATTGTCTGAACTACATTATTGAACTATTTTTCTGTTACAGTTCATGATCTCCAGAGCTTTGGACTTGATAATGTAAGTGTTTCCGAGACACAGTGTCCCAGTTTTCTCAATCTGTTTTCCTTTTGGATTTTCTTCCCATTGCTATGTTGAAAGCAGCTGTCTCTAAGCTTTTTCAGTCTGAGGAGAATCTAGGACCTGCTTTCACACAGAAATCTGGTGTATGTTCTGGAATGTCATGTGGCCTGGCAAGCCTCTT